GTGCCTTGTCTGTCACTCGGTGTCTCTTCCCCTACCTCTAGAAACTTCCATCCAGGGCACCGAGAGATTGGATGAGGTCCTGGGACCCCTGCCCTGTCTCCCCCTCACTGGATCCCCCAGATGTCAATCCCCACAAGAGTCACTCCTGTCTGTTCCCCACTGGCTGGTCGGCCCCCCTCCCTCTCCCTATGTAACCTGTTGCCAGCACCCCTCAGTGGCTCTTGTTGGCTGGCCCCCTCCGGTGCTGTTGGATCCACAGGACATCAATAAACATTGGATTTTTGTCCCCAACAAGTGCCTCTCCTCATTTCCTCGCCGTTGGAATCGGCAGTGACCTCAGGACCCACAAAGCACTCTCCAAAGCCCCGCCGGGTACAGCGGAGGGTGCTTCCACTCGCCCTACTCGCCCCGCAGGAGAGCTAGCCGGGGCTGAGGACAGGGGTCTGGGGCGGGGACGCGGCAATTGGGTATGGAAAAGAGGTCAATATTCAGTTTAGGTAGGATTAATAAAATAGAATCTTTTATTAATACTAGAAATTCTTTGAGTAAATAACTTCCTAGCCTATAAGGAGGCTAGTGATTGTAGAAGTTTCCTCCTAAAAGCTTTGGTCTCGTGTTCAGTCATCTCTCTGAAGTGTAGCCTCGAGTTGCCTTGGTCTTATTTTCTTTTTTTAATTTTTATTTTGTTGTGTGGTTTGCGTCTTCTATGGTGGGACACTCATTAGTTGCAATAGTAGCCTTGCCAAATATGTATGGAATTCTGTAGAACCTCTGGACTATACAATAAAGTGAAGAAAAAGGGCTTTTAAAGAGGCTGGGGAGGAGAATTCCATTGAGAACATTAATTTTCCTTTGGCTTTTCGAATGACATGGATTCCAAGAGCTGAGAGTATATGTCTGTAAGTAAAGCTGTAGCATGCAGAGAGCAGGAAAAATAAGAAAGCAACTGAGAGAAAGCAGGAGAAGAGCTAGAGTATAACAGCAGCAAGGACAAGTGAGTGATTTTTTCCTTTCAATTTTTATCCCTTTGTTCTTTCATTTTGACTTTCATGGTCTTCTTGTTTTCCAATTGTCACAAAATTTATAGTATTAGAAGCAAATATAAAAAAGCCACAAACCCTGGGCTTTTAATGTATTGTACAGTAAGATTAGTCTAGAGCTGCAGGAGCTGTCCTGAGTTACCAATACTTGACTTGCACTGATTCATTCCTAAGTTTTCTTTTTTTTAAAAAAAAACTTTTTCTAGAAAAACACATAACAGGAAGAAATTTTGAATTTTTAATTTCACTGTGATGATTAGTAATAAAGCTGATTTTTTAAAATTTCTTGGAAGACAATTATGTCTGAGTCTTAATGATCTACACAAGATTAAAAATATGGGAGGCAACTTAATCTGGTATTTGCTCGTAGTGGATTGATGCTATAGAGTTGAGGTGAAATATAAATATATCTGTATATGTGTCTATATATGCATACAGTGGTCTGTGCTTTTAAAGAACAAGCTTGATTTTGAGCAAAGTCAACTGAAATGGATTTTAAATGTAGTATTTTATTATGTGTGGAGCTGCCATTGCCACCTGTACTTAAGGTTATGTGACCCTTTCCATTTTAAGGCTTAACTCTTCGTTACTTTGACTTTTTCCCAACTTCAATTGAGACAGATTTTTCCATGCGAGATATCTGCTTTGGGTTGAGCTTTTTGAAAGTTTCAGCCAAAGCAGTTCAGTTCCAGGAACAAGGCTAGTGAAAAGTATGCTGTTTTGCTTGTATGAGAATATTCTGGTGTCCTTCTTTGATGCTCCAGTGCCCCCAAGCTCTAAAGCAAAGATTTGAAATTTGGCAATACTTCAGCCTTTGTGTTGAGGATGTGCCTTTTGCCTCCCTGTAAAAATCCACCCAAATTTCCAGACCAGTTTACGAGGCTTTGAAAGATTGCCATTTGCATGGGCTTAATAGGAATTTCTTAAAACTTCACAGTAAGCTTCCTTTAGATTCTGTTCACACTGGGAATGCTCCAGGCAGAGTAGAGCTGCATATTTCATCCCACTTCTGCTACAAATTGTGACGTCTGGGTCTGGGTGCTGACACTGAGCTAGGAGTGGGCAGCATTGTGTCTTGTATCACCCCTGCCTATTCCCATGTCCTGTTCCTTCTCCCTGGTGACCGACCTGGGCCCTCTGGAAAAAGAAACTGTTTCACTCATCTGAAAGAGCATGACAGATGTGGAGAAGAAGAATTTGGGAGAGTGTGTGTGTCTGGTTTATACCATTCCTTTGGTTGCAGAAAATGTGTGTATCATACTGGCAAAACAATATTTCCTTTTCTACTGAGCGTTCAGTTTGGTTTTGTTGCATTTAAATCTCAGTCATTGAGTAGGTATCAAGGTTTTAACGAACTATGTGAGCATCAATTAAGGAAAAAAAGGTTAATCTCAAATGTCAGTATAGGAATGTTAGGGGGCAGAAATCAAGAGCTCACTTTTTTCAAACATTGAAGTCTGACATTTGCATTTATTACACTCTAGCATCCAACTTCATCACATGTGTTGTGTGTTTTGTCCAAGAGGCAACTGACTGGAATGGGGAAAGGGGCCTGTTCTGAGGATGAGTCCAGGATTTGTATGAGTAAATATTCTGTATTCATCTGTTAGGGAAGTTGAAAAATGTGGAGTGAGGGAAGCTGATATTTGGGGAAATAAAAAAAAGTCTTTGTGGCTAAGACAGTTCAGTGGTGCTTGATTAATTGTATGCTGTCTGTGCTCATTTGTGGTGTTTCTACAAGAGGCACTCAGGTGACTGTTCCTAGGTGGCTGCTCAGACTCTGTGTTGTGGCTGGCTTGAGAACTTGTATCCATTTGTAGAAATGCAGGACTGCAAGTGAACTTAGTGGGAGCTAAACCTTCTGCAAAATCCAGTATTTCACTTAAGACAGTAAAAACCAGCTCAGAGGATGTGAAGTTTGACATGTGGAGCCAGGGAACCTTTTAGTCTGATTAGCCTAATGCCTCAGTTGCCAGTTTTACAGGTGAAGGAATGACTTGTCCCATCGCTGTAGAAAGACTCGGGGAGAAACTGGTTGCCTTTGTAGTAGGACTGGAGAATAACATGCTGTAAATAGAACATATAACCACCTCCTTTGATCAGGGATGAAACAAAGCACTGGGAAATATGCCATACTTTTATCTTTCCTACCTTTTTTTTTACTAAAAGTTACTTAGTGTTAACTGATCTATTTCATACTGATCTAACTATAAAAATCTCAGTATCTTAGCTCTTGAACTCAAATTTTCCACTTTGAATTAGTAGTCAAAATTTGTAAACACTGAGGATAATATTAAAGTGCAAACTTAAATTAGCAATAGCCTTGTAATTCTCTTCAAAATCACAGTCACTTGACCTTAGTAGTAGTTGAATAAAGTGTTAGGAGGATCCTTCTCTGTTTACTATGAAGATGGAAAGCATCCCTGTTTAAACTGTTTACTGCAACCTCACCATGATAAATTTCCCCTTTGTAAAGCTGCTTCAACAAGACATTTTTTTAATCCCCTTGTAAAGTCAGCCATGACCTGAAGTTTCCTATGGAAAAAAAAAAAAAAGTTTTTTGAAAGGGACGATGCTACAACAAATAAGTGACTGTGTGTTTGTGGAAATGTCTAGCTCCCAGAGTGAAATTATTTACTGCTAAGGTTTAGTGAATTTAATGCTTTGGAAATAATTTGTTGGAGAGTCTGCAGCAGTGGAGAGTTTTGGGTTGTGGTTATTTGTTGGGTTTTTTTCCTTGTTCTTTCTTTTAAGGTGGAGGTGTAAAAGATTTTTTTGTCTGCTACTTTAAGCTGAAGTAGTCATCAAACTTTTTAACTTGTTTCTTGGGCTGTTTTCTCAGGGTGTCTGCTGCCTCTGAACCAGTAGCTCTCAGATGGGTCTTTTGAAAACTTCAGCATAAACATGGCATTTGCCAGGATGTGCCATGCAGTATTTTTGGGAGAAAGATGGGAATTTTGAGCTGCTCAAAGCACATACATCTTCCTTAGGGGAACTCGGCTGCTGAGAACAGCACTCTTATTTGCTTAGCTGTGTGAGTCCACTTGCTAGTGGACAATTGTTTTGTGTTTTGTTTTCTTTCCCCCCAGGACTTCTATTTACTTGTGTGCTCTTCCATGTGTGTTTTGAGCTGTGCTTTGAAGTTGGGCTGCTAGTTTTAAACAAAAGCTGTTGCCATGCTCTGCATAGCATCCAGTTTGATTTCAGCAATCTGTTTTGTTAGTGATGTGGTTTTAGAGTTAAAAAAATGCTGTTCTTTGCTTGCCTTAACATTGGTTTGTGTAGGATTAAAGTTGAAAAGTAAAAAAAAAAATCATATCATCAAACTGGGTATGTTGTATAAAAGGCAAGTCAAATGTGATTAGAATGTGATTTAATGACTGTGCAGCAATTATTAATTGATACATGAGATTAAGTTTGAGGTATCCTCTGTTTTTATCTCTGTTACCTTCCTTTTCCTCTTCCCCAGTCCCCCTAATAATCTAAGTCTTTTCTGAAAATCCAGAACTTTGTGTGCCTTTAGTTTCCTACATAAGTCACTCTAGTATATTGTACTTCAGAGTGCTTAGATAAGACCATTTAAAATGCATATTTTGTCATCTTTGAGCACTGTTCTTCAGTAAAAAGGTCTAAGTGCTACACTTTTACTTTCTTAAATTTATACTGAAGTCTCTATTCTTTTCTAATGATCTTTATTTTCAGATTAGGGCACAAAATGAGGAATAGATTCTGAAAGGCAAAAGCAAACACAACTGCAGACAACCAAATTAATTTGTATATATTTATGTGAGCAGTAAATTAGCTATGAGTATTCAACTCTTGTTACTTCAAATTATTTTGAAAAAGTAACTAAAATCTGATTAACAAGACTGCTTTATTAAAGGGTTTAATATGAGATCATTTATATGAAGCATGTGGACTGTTTCTGAATGTTTTGCTCTTCTGTTTTGTTTTTGGCAGCAACTGGAATTAGTGGAACCCAGTGGCTGGATCCATGTTCCTCTAACAGATACCCACAAGAAGCCCATTCGCACCTTCATGATCCAGATTGCTGTTCTAGCGAATCACCAAAATGGAAGAGACACTCACATGAGGCAAATCAAAGTGTACACCCCTGTGGAGGAGAGCTCCATTGGTAAATTTCCCAGATGTACAACAATTGATTTCATGATGTATCGCTCCATCAGATAAAATTTCCTTATGAGGAACAATAAGGGTATTTTTTCATGACTGTTATTGCTAAAGTATTCAGATACTTAAAGAGCTGAGTTCACTTCAGTGTAATTATGTCTTTATGTTTATATTTTGTACAATTTTGAAATAAAGATAATCTTGTGTTCCAGTATGTTGTAATCTGTAATTTTGTTTCTTTTTCTAGGAGTCTGAGGGCTCTTGTACTCTCTGAGAGAGAAAAAATAATCCATTCAGTCTTAAAAGAATATATTTGACTGGGTGGGAATCAATAGTTTATTTGATATAATACAGGTATTTTGGGGGAAGATTTCTTCCCCTAATGAACATGCATGGAAATAGTCCATTCCTCTACCTAAAAATTGCTCTTTAAAATGTTGCTCCTCTTCTTGAACAGACATGATCTAAGGACATTACCAGTAGTATTTTCCCATTATTGCTTATGCTAATGTATTGTACCCTATTCTCTAGGGGGTTGTTTCTGCTCAGTGGCCGTGTGCATGGATTTAGCCTTCTTTGTAACTACAAAGTAAATCTTAGAATTGCAGGAAAGATAATTGAGTCCAGTGTGCTGCTTCTTGCAGGACTGCCTAGAACTAATCCATATGACTAAATGTTGTCCAGATGCTCCTTGAACTGTAACAGGCTTGGTGTCATAACCTTTTTCCTGGGGAGCCTGTTCTAGTGACTGATAATGCAGTGAAGATGACAATGACATGGAGAAAACCAAACCTTTCCAAATTATTCAACTTAGTATATTCATTAATATAGATACATTGAGTGCAGGTCATCCTAGAGCATGATAGCTGTTGAAAATAGGTGATTTAGGAATGCTCTGGCATGCTACAGCAATGTAGGAATGAATGTAGTGGTCCAATGCACGTTCTCAAGTACTGGGAACTCGAGTATAATACAGGTAATCTCATGTTCAGAGCACAGAATTATTTTAATGTGTGTTTTAAAGAAAAGGGCACTGTAAAGAAAATGTGTGCTCTGTCTGCTTGCTGTGAGTAGGAATATTTAACACCTCTATTAATGTCTCATAACCTAATCACTAGTTATTTAAACTTTTTGAAAATTGAATAGATTTTAGAAAGAGAGGTTATTGAAGTACAAAGGTTTCTTTTAATGTGTTTGGTACTGATCAAACCTATTCTTCCTCATAGCACAAGGAAAGTTGATGGTCAATCTTAGATTAATCTCAGCCAAGGAAAACTTTTGTCACTCTTCTTAATTGTGAGCAAGGAAAGGCTAATAATAGTGGAGGCTCATCAAGAAATTATACATTATCCTGCAGAGGAGAAAGAACATGGAATAGAGGGAAATGGGAAGGATGTCAAAGAAGGAGGAAGATTTAACTGTTGAAGTTTATTTTATATACTTGATGAAGTTGTTGTTCACTGGCAAGTTTTATCTGTGTGTGAATTCCGCAGTATTGGGAGGGTCATTAAACAGGGTGTTTCCTGATAAAGAACCTTGTAGAGAAGTGTATTACTTGTTCAGGGTTTCGATTTAAAAGTGAATTCAGTCATTTCAGAAGGGCCTTAATGGAGCTTTACCTTTCCCTGTAGAGGATGGATCAAGTGCAGAATTCCTGTTCAGCAGAAGTTGGCTGAACTTGTGCCTTTCACCAAGTCTCTTACTTCTGTGGATTTTCTTATCTAGTATCAGGGAGTTGTACATTCCTATTCACTTAATTGAAACAAATTATGTACTTTTGATGTCCACTTCATAGTCTTCTGTTTTAAAAAACAACAATATACCTCTCCTGGATTTATCTAGTTACTTTTGCTAAGTTATGGCTTGTTTTTAAGAAAGGAGATGATGAGGCATGGAATTTCCCTGTTTTTTTCCCAGAAGTTAAGATGGCAATTATCCATCCTAGCTTTGCATCGTCAAGCCACTGTTTCCTACTTAAGAATTCTACCACAGATAATTCTCTGGTAATTTTGTGCTTTGGTCAGTAACATTTATCTTTTCATATATGTCACTCTGCAAGTGTTATATCTAGACTGATACTGCTCTGTGCCAAACATTATCCAGTAAGTTAGGAGCAATCCTGTCAGCACAGTCTTCTTCTTATTATTTCTGTCCTTCCATCAGTAGGCATAATTTTTGAATCTTTAGAGAGCTAGTCTAGCTATTATTGATTTTTTTTTTCAGGACATTGATGCTCATGAAAGATAGTGGCCAGCATTTGTGTCAAAAATTTGGAATTGTTATTTCTGTCAGTGTCATTGAATTAGTTGAAATATAGCCTGACTACTTATCCTGCTCTTCTGAAATTGCAGTTTGTGTTCAAGTGCTTTTAAGAACCCATGATACCCATGGTAGGCTGGGTTATGTCAAGCTTTACTGTTGGGGAAGGAATCTGTACGTACTTGAAAACAAGTGCAGTAGCTATTCTAAATCCGTATGAATTTTTTTCTGTGTTGTTTTGTAACAATTGTAGATACATTGCATTGCATTGGTATTTATCTGTGGAGGTACATTTGGTTTTTAATGCTTTTGGCACTTGGTCCCATAAGACTGCTGATTTTTAAGTGACGTGATCCTAGATAAGTGTGTGTGAAACCAATTTACTGCCTTTGTGTATTAATATGGTACTTAGTATTTGAATTGGGATAAACAAACTGGGCTGCCAAGTCATTCAGGAAGTTACTTGCACATATGTTGTGTTTAGCAGCTGCCTCTTTTCCTTGCTCACTGTCTTTAGACATGCAGTTGCCTGTAATCTTATCACTTTCTCTTTTCTCCTTGTATAAGAAGCACCTGACAAAGATCGAGTAGTGCAAGTAACATTGGAATAAATGACAGACAAAATGGAAGATGTAATTGTCCTGAAAAATCATGACTTGGGAGTGATCTGACTCATCACTTCAAATAGTTGTAATTTGGGGGTTTTAAAATATTTTCTTGGAAGGTCACTAGGCCTTTCTACCTCACAGAACAGAAATTTGGTTCCCAGTGTAAGTGTAAAAACTTTCCTTTTAATTCAAGTTTAGTTTATTTCTTTTGCAGACACTAATAAGAGGGAGGTAACTGAGTCACCAGGATCTTGAACTCCTGTTAGAATGAAGAACTGTACCTGTGTTTTGACTAAGTCATGTCTGTGTGTCTTCTTAGCATCACTGTGTAAATAAAAAAGGCAGATGGCAGGAGAGGGAGAAAAGAGGTATTTGCTGCTCGTGGTTTCTAAAATGGAGAACAGCAAAACATTTATGTTTTGTTTAAATTCACATAGGGAATCTCTGGCAGAGCTAGATTTGAAGGCATATCATCACTGTCTATCTTCTCTTTTCACTGTTAAGCTGATTTTCAGATAATGATCCTGTTTCCATGACAAATTTTTCAGTAATGCAATTTCTGTATGTAATTCCATTTAAAAGTTTAAACTGTATTTTGGGTTTTGCTGTTCTGGTTTAGTCTGTAGGGGAGATGGTTTTGCCAGCACTCTTAACTATAGATGCACTACTGATACTCTTCAGCTGAGCCTTGGTGCTGTGCTTGTTCTTACCTCTCTGAAGTGAGTCTTACTGTTGGTAGTGGTTTTTCTTCACCTGTGTTAAAACAGTTTAAGGGAAGTAGTTGAAACATTATTTAGGCTTGAAATCTGTTTACGAGACAGATACTGAGATTGCCAGTTTCTGATTAACAAAGGAGCTTGGGAATAATGGATGAAGTGATGGAAGAGACTGAAGGACCATGGAGAGCTACCAGATATTGGGAGGGCAAATTGTTGCCTTGGCTAATAGGGCAAGCCACAGCTCTAGGCATTAGGTCATTGCTTGAAAAATCCCCACCTTTCCCACAGTAGTAGCTAGCAGTATTTGTAATTGCCTGGACTCAAAAACTGCAAGTGAAATAGGTACTCGGGCAATTCATGTCATCTGAAGTGAGTCAGGGTGGTAAGAGTGGACCTAGTAATTAGAGCTGAATTGTACTACACCCTGTAAAGAAAGAAGGAGAGTCAGAAGCTACTCTAGTAAACTTCTCAGGAGATTCCAAAGACTTTAGCCATTTGCCAACCATAAATATGTGTTTTTGGTTCAAAAAGAGCAAGTGGGATTTTCTAAAACCTGTATTTTCAGGATGGGTCTGCTTAGTAATACACAAAAGAAGAGTTCAATGTTCGGCCAGGCTTAAATGAAAGCATAAATGGTCATCATAGTGTTACTGTGTTTTGCTGTGTAAATGAATTTTGGAGATAATTTTTAGTTGATACTTTTCCAGAATTTACCAGTATGCTCTGCAGCTTTAGGAGAATGTATATTAATTCTTTGGGATCCCAATGTGTACTTGCCTGCATGGAGGAAGTAGAGGTTTGGGCTCTGAAGAGCCCATGGTTATGACAAGCAGTGTAGTGCTGTGCTTTCAGAGCCTGACTTGTTTAATTCCTGGTAACCTTTGTGCTCTTATTCCCAAGTTTTGTCATCCTGTGTTAATGGTTAATTAACATTGATGCATTGATTACAAGAATACTTTGAATTCCTTTGCATGTATACATAAAAATAGCTGTTTATTTAATATTTAACTACCAGATTACTTCTTGAATTAAATGCAGTAGTTTTTTGCTGGAGTGTGAGCTAATAATCTGAATGCAATTAAAATGTTCATAATATTAAGAGTATGTCCCTCTAAAGATGGGATTGCTGAGGTTTCCAGGCAAAGGTATTGGGTGGTCTGCTGTTGGTTTGGAATACTTAAGTGTTCTGGTTTAGATCAGAAAGGTGTTATGGTGCTTTTATAAAGCTGCATAAAGCATCATTAAACATTGTTCATGGAAGCAAATTGAAAGTCATCCTTCACGTGACATATTTGCTGTAGCTCCAGGTTGACATTTCAATGAGCTGTTTTACGTCAGCCTAACAATTGCCTGTGACAGTTTCTCCATTTGCACCAAAGAATAAACCTCTCTTGCAGCAGTCAACAGTATTAGCATGGTTTAGTTTAATGGAAGAATGGAAAAAAAAAAGCCACAACCCCAAAGCCCAGGTAATGAAAATTATGCTAATACTTGATGCAGCTAGAAGATATAATCCAGACATAATTATATATAAAGTGAGAAAGTAAGTTTGGGATCACTGGAAACATTAAATACCTGAACTCTGATCCCACTGAAGTGAATTACTGCTGTTAATTATAAATAGCTAT